TAATATTAAAAATAATTTATACGAACCAATAATTATAAAATTATATGATAAAATTTAATATTAAAATTAAAAACTGGCAATTGCAAAACACTCAATATCAGCTATAGAGCTAACGTATTTAGTTGCGTTGATGTGAGTTTGTGACCCTGGGTTTCACGCCCTTTGCGATCGTCAAACAATCTCGTCCGACGATCACATCAGCGCAACTATACATATATATATATACTATTATTTTTTTTATTATTGGAGATTATAATCTCTTATAATAAAAATAGTAATATATTGCTCTACTTTGTATTGAGCACTCTTTTAAAAGTAAATTCTACGAAGAGAGACATTTTTCTTCGTCTGTTCTTTCTCTGATTTTGATATATATATATATATATATATATATATATATATATATATATATATATATATAAAAATATATAGAAAATAGGAAAGAACTCGTTAGGTAAATAATCCAAAGTTCTTTAGTATTTTTGTTATTATTTTTAAAAATAGTGCTCGATACAAAAGTAGAGCATAAATATAATTATTTATTTAAAGTCCTAATAAATAGTTTAAATGCCCTACAAAAAAAGATAACCCTTTATGAAGTCGTCAAAAAACAAATGTTATCCATTTACGACAGTTTGTATATAGAATAAAATAAAATAAAAAAAATAAATAAATCTCCATAGACACTTAACCAGATTAGGCAATGTCATCTTCCGCTTTAAATTTAGACAGTCCAACCTTACCCTGACTTGACATCTGTGAATGTAACTGAGATATTGATACAAATTATTAACACCTTACGCCCGTTTTCTTTAAACAATTGCTCTAGCCGTTACCATAGAAATTTTGATTTCAATAATGAATATGCTTATAAAATACGTAAATTTCAGAAATAAGTTATCCCCCCCCCCAAAAAAAAAATTCGCTTGAAGATGGAACAGAGCTTAGTACTTTAATTCAATTTAATTCAAATAATTATATTGGAGTTTTCGGGTCTTGTTTTGAAACATAAGAACTCTTATGTAGCGTGTTGGAATCATATTTTAAATAAATAATCATATATATATATATATATATATATATATATATATAATTATTCGACAAGCCAATGCGAACGATCGTTTCTTTAGCCGTATAGTATGTGCTACGCCAGAGCTAAATACAGTTTTCAATTAAGAGTTACTTTCTCCGAGACCATTTGCCACCCAAGGCTAATAGAACTCAGTCTATCCTGCTATTTATCCATAGCTGGGGGGAGAGAAGAAGAGGATTCATACCTTCCTAAGGGTATTAGCACGTGTATAAAGTAGATAGGTATGCCTGTCTGTCGGTTTACATTCTTGCACGTCTTTTGAAAAGGAGCATAAATTTATTCCTTGTTTCCTGTTTAGGACAGGGTTTCCGGTTCTTCTCATTCACGCTCAGTAACTCCATGCAAGACGCTAACCTCCAGGCAAGTGATTCGTTGCACCTTCTTAGGCTAACGTTCTCAGCTGACATGAAGTGGAAAGACTATATTGAATCCATTGCTAGGTCAGATGATAAGAAATATGGCTCACTGTGTCATGCAAGACATTTCTCTCTCTCCAGAATCTATCATACATATCTATAAGTCTATAATTTGTCTATTCATAGAATATTACTCAAACATATGGTCCGGTGTAGCTGCTGTTTATCTTCAGCTCTTTGATAAAATCCCCCAAAGAATCAGCAATATTATCTGTCATGATCTGGCAGCTCGGATTCAATCATTTTCCCACCGCCGTAAGGTTGCCTCTTTATGTCTTCTCGTGTATATATTTTTGTTCATTTTTGTAAATATTCAATGAGATGTAGATTTTTAAATTGTTGTTTTATTCCCCTCCCTCCCCCAGAGATAATGAATAGTGCATAAGGGGTCAAGTTAAGACTTTCATAGAGACAATGTGGTATTATGGTGAATGTAGTAAGAAAGGTAAGTAAGAATGCGTTGTTTTGGTGGTAGGAATATTGTGGTTTGGTCTGGGTACTTGTTTGTGGCGAGCTAAATTTAATGTTAAGACAGAAGAAGACCGCCCCTTTCTCCCTTTCCCTATTTTTGGCCTTGTGCCGCACTTTGTAAATAAATTACAAATAAATATCGCTCTTCGCTTTGGTAGGTAGAGTGTCTGAATTTACTGGATACTAGATTGGTGGCAAGATCTCATCAGTTTACAATCGGGATGGCTAGATGCAGCTGCAAATTCTATACTAACAGCTTCTTTTATCGCACTTCTCGCCTGTGGAAATAACTTTTTTCTACACCTTGTAACCCCTTCTGTCTTAGTGGTTTTACTGCCTAGCTTGTTGAACTCCCTTACGGCTCCATACTTTCCAGCCAATTTTAATTTGCAAAAATTTCAATGCAATGTCAATTGCTATCTACTGTCCTCCTGATTACTATTTCCTCTTCCGATCATTATTAATGCTTCTGTTCCTAATTCTTCCACACCGTGTTACCAACTGTGTCTTAGTGGCTTTA